TGAGTGGGTCAAATGTAGCCTGGTAGTCAGGCAAGTAGGCCTGACGCGCGGTTGTCGGAGCTCTCGAAGAATGACTTCCACGAGGACTGAAACCGTGGTTACTGCAGTGCTGTCTGTACAACTCCAGTGTGTTCCGGATTGCCCTGCCACCAGAGTTTTTGAGACTAGCTTCCTTGATATTGGTATCTGCATTCAAAAGGTTGTCAGAGCAGGGCCACGAGGGGGAAAGCGGCGTTCCAGGAACGGCCATTTTTGTGAGGTTAATGTTCTGAAAATAAGAGGTTTGATTACTCAGAGTAATGCTTGAGGTAAAGCTTGATGAACACGAATAGTCGGCAAAGAACGGTGTAAGGATAAAAGACCTAAATATGATTAACATGATTTAAGTACTCTAAATCAACTGAAAAGTCATCGTATCAGTCAAACTAAAAGAGTGGGAATAAACAAACAATCTCTCGATTTATTTGAGATGTCTAACGGGCCACCTAGATTTTATACGCTACGCATATAAATATTATTTACTTCAACCTTGACAAATACCAGCGTATCACGATGCTATTCTGGTTCTTGCCGACGTTCAAAATAGGAAATAAAACTGACGATCCTGCATGGTTAAATGACGCTGTAGAGAAGTTTATTTTTTCCAGATGTTTCATGTTGGTAGGATTCATCAGTTGGCCAATAACTACAAATCAGACAAAGGTGGTCAGAGAAGACGTGACACTTACCTATAGTTCGATTTTTTCAAAAGGGATGAGATATTACAGAAGAAGTAATGACAATATATACCCATCTTACTTCTTATTTTAGAAATGTGGTCTACCGAACAGTGGACATTTAATAAGTTAGTCACTGAACATGTCGCATAGCAGCTTCTGCTTTGCAACTGACAATAATGCTGGAAGCTAGTGTCAGATTTCGTCGCCCCTTTATGACAGATAATTATCTTCTCCGCGGCACCTATAGCACCGGATAGTAAGGTTTAAACGAGCACAAAGTCAGTTTACGTGATGTGATAAGCCTGATAGTTTATTTGTTTTTATCGAATATCAAAGTTTTTTCTCTTAAGCAGCCCAGGAATAAGATGAGAAGATGAAGTTGAACATAACCTAGCGACAAAAAAAGCTCTTTTAAGGCTCCGGAACCGATAACTGGAAGTAGGATATGTGACATGATTCTCTAGGGTCATCGGTGAACTTTTTCTCTAGAATACAGTTTAAACTGTAATAATTAACATTTCATAACGTTTAGTTCTTCTTAGCGTATTTTTCTAAGGAAAAATTATGCTTTCCTAAGTTAGTTGGCACGTGGTTTGCAGAGATTCCAACATTTGAGGGTTGTACCTTTGCACCCGTACCTTTGCATCGTAAAGTGAATTTGTACCTACTTTGGATTCAACTAGACGACACTGTTCTCTACATCTAGGCTCACTAGGAACTATCCGGCGGCTGGTAAACTTCCTAAGAAAATCTAAGCCAAAATAACCAAAAAATTTTGAATTGAAAGACAGCTTATAAAAACCTATGTTAGGGTAAGTAATGCCTGCTTATTTAAAATTCGCCCTAAACAACTGGACTTTCACTAGCAAGGCAGCTTGCGTAAAACGCAATTAAAATTTGTGTTTTTATAAATGTAACCATGCAAAAAACGGTTTATTTACTTAAAGAATCCTCGATTGAAAAGAGAACTGATGTTGTCTTACCTGTAGCCATGCGAGATTTGTCAGCGAATCATCGTCATCTTGATCCTTGCTGGCCTTTAGCTCCTGTGCGCGAGTTAGCCAGTTTTGTCTGAGTTTTTTGGCCAAAAAATCACTCGTATGCTGATTCATTACATCTAGCAAAAAAAAGATAGGAATAGTTACGTCCAGCCGGCCACTCAGTACTCGCGCTGAGCTAGCAGTTTAAAAATCGGCATATGCGGGCGCGCACGAATTTGGATTGCTCAATCGATTGTGGCACAAATCAAAGTTGCAGGAGCCTTATGGATAGCTGAGATGGCCTACAGACAAGCAAGAATTTACGCGCAGAGTGAAGAATGGATTTACTGTTCACGCACCTGCATGACAGGTTCATTTTTGGTGCGAGAAATGATGCCAAATTAAACTTGGATGGAAAAAGCTTTTGCGTATTTCTCGGGTGCATGCAAGCCGGAAAACAATTCAGTTTTTATGCTGATATGACCACCATACCATTATATGCGAGGCGGAATGATGCTCATTTTTAGGAAAAAAACGGTAAGGATGACTTTTATGGTTGCCTAAACAGGACACGGAAATAGGACCGTCCCGCTCACTTAAAATAGGTGTCGCTGCGATAAATTTCAGGAGAGTTAAATATTCCCGTGTCTTAACCCTAACATAAAACGGAACTGCAACCTTCATCTTAATCCTAAACCTATCCCAATTCTAAATCCTGCAGTCAGCACTAACCCAAACCTTAACCCTTAACAGAGTCTTGTCCCCAGTGCCCAACATTAAAAATGACCGTAAACTTAACCCTAACCCTCACCTTAATCCTAAACCTATTTGGCGCGAAATCACATGTATTATGTGTGGTTCCTGTTCCGTGTCCTGGTTAGGCAGCCACAAAAGTCATCCTTACCGAAAAACAAACTATCTTTCATGTGGAATGAATAGCAGAATCCATTGTCATGGCTTTGAAAGTACCGCTTAAGTGT